AATTGGTCCATATTTATTTTATACAGAGAAATTTATTACTCAATTCAAAACAACAGAAAAAAATGATAGGTCACCATACTCATTTGCGAGAAAATGACCATTTACCTCTATGGTGAGGTCCAGCCATAAAGAAAAATCCGCCATTTTGTAATGTGTGCACGCTAATCACGCGTGAAATTATGTGCAGAAGGGATGCGTAATGCAATACTGGGGAATGACCTAAAAATCTAAGCTTAATAGTAATAGTCACAACTGGGACATTAATGCGGACGTGAGTATCAGTGAGATTGATTTGTTTGAGTAATTGATATAAATCCATGTCTTATTGTTGATTACATTAAATGATATAATTGCCATGTCAGAATTTATCCCAACAGAGCCTCAATATCATGTGCTTTGCTGACTAATCCATACACATTCTATGCTGAATCACCTTACAAGATTACGTTAGAAACTGTAAAAGAATCTTATCAAAGAAAATAAAGTACCTTGAAGGTTCAAGCTTAATTATCACCGACAATTCACCAATGTACGCATGAAATGCGATGCAAACATTACAAGATTTAAACTTACCCTTAATAAGATACAATTACACACAGAGATCAGAAGAATTAACCTTAACTTACATCATTTGTAATTCAATGTAAGTGAAAAAAACAGACAGCTCTAAAGCTTAATTCGTGACATAAAAAAGACTTACCCAGCTATTTGCGTGCTTGATATTTCCACTACTTTTAACCCTTTGTCTTATAATACTTTTTCCTAGGGACGGTTTGCTTTTCTTCCCCATTTTGCGTGGACTTCAAGAATGACACGTGATAAATACAAGTATAAATTAGGAATATTATATGATTTATTAACATGAAGTACTTTCTTTTAATGGTTTGTCACGTGAGATTGTAAGGTGCACTTTATTGGCGCTACTTTGAGGGGGACTTTACAGCTTCTTGTCAAGGCGTGATTCCCCCAACTAGAAGAATGTTTCACTTTGGCTTTCTGTCAATCTGTAGTTTGGTGCTTGTTTTGCCGTGTTCTTACGGCATCGAATATTCAAATTTCTCGTCCTTTAATGGAGGAAATTACACAGTCCGTTGGAAGTTCCAGAATGAAACACAAATGTTTTATTTTAAAGTTGAGGTGATCGCGACTGGCTGGATCGGATTTGGAATATCAAAGTTGTTGTGGCCCAAGGAAGAAAGCTTACAGTGGAATAGACAGTCAATGCAGGATTACGATGTCATTGTTGGTGGAATGTTTGATAATAATACCCATTACTATAAGGTTAGTTTGAAACTCCAGGGCTCGAAATTAACTTCTTCGTTCGGGAGCCAGCAGCTGGCGACTAAGGGAAGTGGTCAAAACTATGTTACATGCTAGGGACCCACTTTTTGGAGGGAGGGCTATATAAGAGGCCATGGGTCTCGAGGCCATGGGTCTAATGAAGGGGCGGGGGGCTACTTAAGAGGCCATGGGTCTCCTGAGGGAGGTGGGGAGCTACTTAAGAGGCCATGGATCTCCTAACGGAGGTGGAGGCTAGGTAAGAGGCCACGTGTCTCCTGACAGAGGTGG